TTTTGTTCACAAAGGGAACAAGTCCGCGACGCGGACGTGCTCCTCGCAACTGCCCGACTTTCTCCTTCACGTCTCCAACTCTAAATCCTCTAACCTCAAATGTTCCAGCCCCAATCACTTAGAAACATGAAAATCCCTCAACATTCAATAGAATACCACTCAAAAACACAATCCAATCATGTCCCACAACCAACAATAATTCTAACAACAACAACTAACAACTTTAACAACTCCAACACCTTCAACCCCAACAATTAACAACTTTAACAACTTCACCAAACCTTTCTTAATGAATAAAAGGGGCTAGGTGTGTGGGGGAAAGGATCACCCAACACTAAAAGCTCACATACCTTGATAGGGATCACCCCCGACGAAAACCCACGATGATCTCCTCTTCTTCTCTTCTTCTCTTCTTCTTCTCTCAAAACCCTCACTCTCACTCCTTTTAAAATGGTAAAACTGATCAAAATGATCAGCCTAACACATTTATATAACCAAAATAAAAGGCTAGGGAAAAGACCAAAATACCCTTAATTTTCCGGACGGATTCCTTGCCCAACTGCCCAACTTTCAATGGCCATAACTCGCTCATACGAATTCGGAATTGAGCAAACTCGGTGGCGTTGGAAAGATCTTTCCACGAACTTTGCAACCATAACTGGAACTCCACCTAAATCATCCGGAGATAGAAATTATGGCTGTTCAAAGTTGGCCAAAAATTCACATTTTTCCATACTTAGTCAAAATTTCCAAAACTTTAAAATTCTTTCCAAAAATGAAAATTTCCAATTCTAAGCCTCTTCAATTATTTCACATTGCCGGATGTTACAATATCTCCCCCTTGGGAACATTCGTCCTCGAATGAGATTACTCTTACTAGCTAAGGGTGTAAATCAACTCAAATCTTTCTTTCCTCCTTAATGGGTAGTAATTCTCAAGGTTTAATGTAATGTTTATGACACCCTTTGGTATTCCTCAATGTAATTCTATAAATAGTGGTGTTGAGAATAATGTTAAATACACTTGAAAGAAAGAATGTCAGTTTATATTGTTCCTCTTGTCTTATAGTCTTCTTCTCTTCCTCTTTATATTGTTCTTTTGTCCTTAAGTTTTACAACACGTTATCAGCATTAAAACTCTAATATCATTTCAATTTTTCCAAGTTTGCTTCTGGTATGTATTCATATACTTAATTCTCATTATTAATCACTCTAATATAATATACTACATATTATGAAATGGTTAGGTTCTCAAAGCAATCCTTCAAGAGGCAATTGTCATCGTTGTGGCATGAAAGGGCATTGGAAGAATGAATGCCGAGCAGCTGAGCATTTTGTTAGGCTTTATCAAGATTCCTTGAAAAGAAAAGGAAATAAAAATGGTGTATTTTCTTCTGATGCTCGGGTGGAGTCACACTTGACTTATAAAAATGATGCCGAGGCAGGGCCTTCACAAAAATATGATGACAATATTGAAGTAAATTTGGCTTTAAAAGATGATGATTTTGATGACCTTGATGACATTACTCATTTGGAAGTTGAAGACTTCTTTGGAGATCAAAACTAATCTTTGATCATTTGATTGTGAAAAATAATTATGTTATTTTATTTATCTTTTTTTTTATTGTTATGTTTTTCCTTATGCTGTTTTTATATTCAGAAAAAAAAAAAGTACTTTTATTTTCTTGCAAAGTTGTTGATTTTTCATATTTCTTATGATGTACTTTTATTTTATGAAGATAAATAAAATTCCTCAATCTTCAATTGGTTCAAGATGAGTAATGGAGATATGTGTCTTCTTGATAGTGCTACAACTCACACTATTTTAAGAGAAAAGAAATATTTCTCTAATTTGATTGTGAAAAAGGCTTATGTTAATACAATAACTGGTACTACAAAATTAATTGAGGGCTCTTAAAGAGCGGTCTTGCTACTACTTGGGGGAACGATATTAACTGTTGAAAATGCATTGTACTGTAGTAAGTCTCAAAGAAACTTATTAAGTTTCAAGGTTATTCGCCAAAATGGCTATCATGTTGAGACTGCCAATGAAGGAAAGGTTGAATACATTTATATTACTACAGTAAAATTGGGGCAAAAATATGTGCATGAAAAATTATCCGCATTTTCTTCTGGATTGTACCATACAAGTATTAGCAAGGTTGAATCACATGCCATAGTAAACAAAGGGTTTACTAATCCAAATGATTTTATCATTTGGCATGACCGGTTGGGCCATCCCGGTTATCATATGATGCGCAAAATTATTGAGAATTCACATGGGCATAATTTGAAGAATCTGAAAATTCTTCAATCAAAGAAATTCTCTTGTGCTGCTTGTCTCAAGGAAAGTTGGTTATTAAACCATTAGCAACTAAGGTTGGGATTGAATCCCTTGCATTTTTGGAACATATACAAGGTGATATATGTGGGCCAACGATGTAGTTAGATAGCTAACTGGGGTAGGCGACGAGAGGCGTATAACCCGACTCATACAATTAACCCCATAAACCAGTAACTTGACAACTGAAATTTGTTCTAAGCCAATAATATGATACATGATATTCAGTATATGTTGCAGCCCTGGAATTGTCTTTTACTTGCTTGAAGCATCATCTTAAAGTCGTTCACAGTTAGTTACGTTATTTAGTTCATAATTAGTGGTAGTTAACAATCAATCATCAACTCTTGAAAAGGTTACTTTTACTTTTATTTGTAGAATTAAGTGTTAAATATAAATTGATCATAAGTCCCTTGGGAACGATAACTCGTTTCTTAAAAAATCTATATTGCTTGCGTGACCACGTACACTTGCGTGTATATTGGGGAGCAACAGGATGTCTGACCAACATGAAGAAGAATAGCTTAAAAAGCTACCCTCCCTTGAAGGAATTATGACAGATGAAATCAGGGACTTATCAGCTTCTCAGCAACACTATCTAGATATTCGATCAGATGATCTTAATAATACAAGCAGAGTAATTGAAGGCAAGTATCTTGATTTGCTGGCACAAACAGAACTTAATATGAACAAGAAACAATGGGCAATTGGACCTATTCTGCCTACTAAACTCGATTATATCTCGAATAGAGAGAATATATGTTTGGAGTGGCTGAACAAACAACCTCCAAGATCAGTTCTTTATGTATCTTTTGGAACAGTAACTTCATTTTCCGATAGACAAATCAAGGAGCTCGCGATGAGATTAGAGCAGAGTAAACAGAGGTTTATATGGGTGCTGAGAGATGCCAATAGAGGAGATATCTTTAAAGGGGAAGATAGAAAAGTTGAATTGCCTGAAGGAATTGAGGAAAGAGTAGAAGGGGTTGGGTTAGTGGTAAGAGAATGGACACCACAACCAGAAATCTTGGCTCATTCGTCCACAGGCGGGTACATGAGTCATTGTGATTGGAACTCTTGCTTAGAGAGTATTACTATGGGAGTGCCTATAGCTGCTTGGCCTATGCACACTGATCAACCAATAAATGGTTTCTTGGTGACGGAAATATTGAAAATAGGCCTGCTTGTTAGAGATTGGGGGAAACGCGAGGAGGTAGTAAGTGCATCCACTATTGAGAATGTCGTGAGGAAGTTGATGGCATCAGAAGAAGGAAATGTGATTAGAAAAAGAGCAGAAGAATTTGGAGAAGCTGTAAGGCAGTCCACAGAGAAAGGGGGTACTTCTCGAATAGAGTTGGATTCTTTCATCGCTCACATCACAAGATAGACTTGTTTGTGTTTTGTTTAACTAGAATTGAGTCCAATTGTGGATGTATGCCTTTTGTTTAATTAAGTACTTGTTTGTGTTTACTTTTATTCAATTTATAAGCATTTCAATAACAACCTTTATGGATGGTATATCACTTTCCAAGTCCATCTTCTGTTTACTTTTGTTCATTCTCATAGACTTCAGAGTCATTACCTTGAAGAAATACAAAAAAATTGATTATATAAGCTTTTATGTACCATGACAAATGCTCAATCAGGAGATAGGGAGGATACGACAGAAGAACGAAATTCTCTTTTTATTCTTCCTTGTGTAGCTGTGAGAATTTAACAAACCATGAACTTAACAAGTTAGAAACAAGATGAAGTAGCTATCTACCTTTATGGGGTAGATAGGTTGTTTCGATTGACCCTCAACAACCCTCCTCCTTTATCTATACGTGGAACTTGCAATGTGAATGACCTCATATAGGTGGAGTTAAATTCCATGTTAAAAAATCAGGTCAGGCTTAGTCAACTACAACAATCAGGTCAGGGTTCGAGCCAACACCTTAAATCCTTCAGACATAGCCAAGATTCACTTTCATGACCTCCCAAGGATTTGGGGAATCTTGGCTTATTCGTTAACTGACGGGTTCATCAGTCACTGTGGATGACATTCTTGTTTAGAGAGCATTAGTATGGGAGTGTCAATAGCAGCTTGGTCCTATGCAGTTTGACCAACCAAAAAATAGTTTTTTGTAAGGCAACATGATTAAAGTTTTGTATTTAATAATATAACATGAACACAATGTTTTTCTTTTATCTATTTATTATCAATTAACATGATACACGTTTGCATCTAGAACTCTTCACAATTTTATGGTATAATTAGAAAAGACAACACCGAAATATTTGGATGTAATAAGAAAAGTTAGAGATGAGTTTCAACTAGATTTAAATTTTAACAAAAAACAAAACAAAATAGAATCATATTTCACTGAATTTTCTTAGATATATTTATACTTTTAAAGAATTATTAATTTATAATATTAATGAGACTATATATTTATATAGGGAGTTTTTGAAAAATTTATTATCTTATTATGTTTTCGAAATGAGTGATTTTTTCCATTGGCCCAAGTCTAGATCATAGAAAATTATTATCTTAGAGAAATTATTAATTAACCGAATATTAATTTAGTGAGATTTTACTGTAGTTGAAATTTTTACACTTAATTTTCAACATGAGATTAGGCTTGGTGATAGTCTAAAGCACCATGCATGTATGTCGTAGTATTAGTCTTGCTCTTCGATATTTGTTACCATATGTCGTTGTTATAATTTTTTTTAAAATTATTCTTGTGTGTTGATTTTCGTATTAATTGTCTGGTTTTCTTTTTTAGCAATATTTTCTTATTCATAATTATTTTGATTTAATATAGAGATTGCGCGTTTCTATATCAATTTTAATTTAATACTATATATAGTAAAAGTAAAATAAAACAAAATTAGAATGTGTCAACTTTACTGGTCCATATGACAATGTCCCCACAAACAGCTTCATACAAATCCAAATAATAATAAAGTAGAATTGACGTGCCACCAGATTATAAATGATGCTGATTGAAATAAATATTAAACGTGTAACAATTTATCAGCAGGGGCGTATACATGAGGGGGTCATCGGGTTCACGTGAACCCATGGTCCCCTTTCGAAATCGTATATAGTAGTGCAATATTTTTTAAATATAGATGTGTGAACTCAGACTCGAAATATCATATAATGTAGTACGATGATGATTGGGTGCACCTCTCTAGGTGAGGTTAGAAATTTAAATGTTTTATCTATCTTGTTTTAGTTTTCTTTCTAAGATTTTGTAACTGGTTAGGATAAATAAAAGTTAATTTTGGACCTATGATTTTAAAATTTTAATGATTTTCTGTAAAAAGAATCTAACCGATCAAATTTATGTCTTAGATCCACCTTTTTGTAATAGTGCACCCATTATCTATAAATCCTGAATACGCCTTTGTTTATCAGCCATTTATCTATGAGGTGTGTGAAAATTGATTGAAATAAATTTAAACGTGTAGCAATTTCCTATTTTTAATTTGCTTGAAATAGATTTAATGTTATGATCCTATTATTAGTAGGATAATATGTATTCTGCAATGAATTTAGTCCTAATTTTAGTCCTAATAGAAAAATGTTATGTTTAATCGTAATATAAAATTACATTTATATCTTGTAGTAATTTTTCATATGGAGGAAAATTTTGAACTTAAAAAGGACAAATAAGTCAATATCAACTTTTTAAATGAGATATTTTACTAAAATAAGGTTTTAGTCTTTTCATGTGAACATTCATGCAGAACTCCAAAACATGTGCACCACATATATTTTTTGCCACATCTCCAAATCTTTGTAGTTATATGTATGTTGTATAACCATAAATCCAATAATTCAAAAATAATACTCCTTCCGTCTTAATTTATGTAACACTTTCCGAATTTCGAGATTCAAAAAAGTCTATTTTTGATGATAAATTTTTCATTTATCTTTTAATTATTTTAATTTGTCAATTATTGTGACTTATAGTACTTTTTACGTAATTTACAAATATATAAATTTCATTTCAAAAATTTCAAAAAACGCAAATTTTCTCTCGAAAAATAAAAAACGCCACTTAAATTGGGACAACCTCTTACATACATACACACAGTAGCGGACCCAGAATTGTTATTAAGGGTGTCGACGATTGTAGTAAGAAAATGAATATAATTATGAAGCTGGTAGGACTTGAACACACAACCTCAAAGAATTTTACGACGCCTTTAACCACTAGTATATATATACACACTCACTTCAACAACATCTTCTACAAAAGATTGAACAAACTTCAAAGTAGATTGAATATTGATAGCCCTGCTTCTAGCCATGACACAAGTAGAAAACCATGAATTTAGCAAACTGAAACAAGATGAAGTAGCTATAGTTATGGTTCCATTTCCATCTCAAGGCCATCTTAACCAACTTCTCCAACTTTCATGTTTAATCTCCTCCTATCATCTTCCTATCTATTATGTTGGTTTGGCAACACATAATCATCAAGCCAGGATTCGAGCTAAGGCGTTAAATCCTTCAAACATAGCCAAAATTCACTTCCATGACCTTCCAAATCCTGAACTAATAGCCTCATCAAATCTTGAGAAAGTAAGGGATGTTTCTATGCTTCTTCGCGATCCCATTGCTTCTTTCATACGCGATATTTCATCAAAAGTAAGACGAGTCGTTGTTGTTCATGATCCTATGATGTCTTACAATGTACAAGATGTTTCTTCTTTGCCCAATGCTGAATCCTATATATTTAACTGCATTTCAGTTTTCTCATGCTATATTATGATGTGCTTATTTTTAAAGATTTCTGGCCAACATGAAGAAGAATTGCTTAAAAAGCTATACTCCTTTGAAGGAGTTACAACAGATGAAGCTATGGACTTATCAGATTCTCAACATCCATATATGGATATTAGATCAGGTGATATCCATAATACAAGTAAAGTAATTGAAAGCAAGTATATTGATTTGATGGAACAAGCAGAAATTAGTCTGAACAAGAAACAATGGGCAATTGGACCTATTCTGCCTACTAAACTCGATTATATCTCGAATAGGGAGAATATATGTTTGGATTGGCTTAACAAACAACCTCCAAGATCAGTTCTTTATGTATCTTTTGGAACAATAAATTCATTTTCTGATAGACAAATCAAGGAGCTCGCGATGGGATTAGAGCAGAGTAAACAGAGGTTTATATTGGTGCTGAGAGATGCCGATAGAAGAGATATCTTTAAAGGGGAAGCTAGAAAAGTTGAATTGCCTGAAGGATTTGAGGAAAGAGTAAAAGAGGTCGGGTTAGTGGTAAGAGAATGGGCACCACAACCAGAAATCTTGGCTCATTTGTCTACAGGCGGGTTCATGAGTCATTGTGATTGGAACTCTTGCTTAGAGAGTATTATTATGGGAGTGTAGTATTACTATGGGAGTGCCTAAAGCTGCTTGGCCTATACACACTGATCAACCAATAAATGGTTTCTTGGTGACGGAAATATTGAAAATAGGCCTGCTTGTTAGAGATTGGGGGAAACGCGAGGAGGTAGTAAGTGCATCCACTATTAAGAATGTTGTGAGGAAGTTGATGGCATCAGAAGAAGGTGACCTGATTAGAAAAAGAGCAGAAGAATTGGGAGAAGCTGTAAGACAGTCCACAGAGAAAGGGGGTGCTTCTCAAATAGAGTTGGATTCTTTCATCGCGCATATCACAAGATAGACTTCGTTTCTTTCTAGCTCTTTCTTCTTTGAATTTCACTTTTCAAGCAGTTTCTTTTAACTTGTTATTTATCAGCTTCTTGGCTCAGACTAATATATATATGCTACCTTATATTTCTTTGATCTTTGAATGTTCTGTATCTGAAATTTTTTATCAGCTTCTTGGCTCAGACTATATTTCTTTTAGCTAGCATATGAGACGATAGAAATAACAACTATATATATATATATATATATTTTAAATTTAGAAATAACAACTATATAACTGCAAGCAAATAGATATTCAAAGAAAGAGAGTAACTTCTGGCATCTAACATGCAGCCGCTTGTATGGGTAATCAATTAGAAACATGCAACCGCTATCGACATTGTAATGTAAAATTGAGGAATGCACTTCCAAAAGCCATCCCATCAGTAAAATTGTGCTGTACCATAATATAAATTCTCTCAATCTAAATGTTCACCAGCCAGTTATGTCTAGTTGTTTGTGAGAAATCATAAACAGAGATGAAGGCTTATGTAGCAGTCATACAACACCATCGGAGAAGATGTTGAGATATCCAAAGACAAGGCTTGAACGTGGTTTAGCCTGTTCCTCTCCAGTTGATGTAGAATTGGTAGAGCAATTTGCAGCATCTAAAGCAGTATTGTCTTCAGCAGCAATGGAGCCAGTATTCCTCTGCCATAGCTAGCATATGAGACGATAGAAATAACAACTATATAACTGCAAGCAAATAGATATTCAATCACTGCATATCTTTTCTAAAATCTCTCCAATGGCTGCAAAGACAAACTATTCAAAGAGATTTTCAATCTGGGATATATATAAGTCCAAAATGTTTATGTTCTCGCCTAATCATCAAAGTGATCTTATGCCTTCTTGTGGCTGAGCAACATAATACTCTTTTATTGAAAAATTATGAGGCCCGTCCCACGGGAACTGCTCCGTTACCCGAAGTAAATGAGGTTGAAGCACATGGCCAGTCTGAGAGAAGACAAAATAAAAATCAGGGCCAAAATAATGTGCGCGGACGTGGCAATGGCAGGGGACGATATAATAATCGTCGTCGTGGTGGTCGCCACAAAAGGGAGAACACTATGGGTTCTCAAAGCAATCCTTCAAGAGGCAATTGTCATCGTTGTGGCATGAAAGGGCATTGGAAGAATGAATGCCGAGCAACTGAGCATTTTGTTAGGCTTTATCAAGATTCCTTGAAAAGAAAAGGAAATAAAAATGGTGCATCTTCTTCTAATGATTGGGTGGAGTCACACTTGACTTATAAAAATGATGCCGAGGCAGGGCCTTCACAAAAATATGATGACAATATTGAAGCAAATTTGGCTTTAAAAGATGATGATTTTGATAACCTTGATGATATTACTCATTTGGAAGTTGAAGACTTCTTTGGAGATCAAAACTAATCTTTGATCATTTGATTGGGGAAAATAATTATGTTATTTTATTTGTGTTTTTTTATTGTTATATTTTTCCTTATGCTGTTTTTATATTCAGGAAAAAAAAAGTAATTTTATTTTCTTGCATAGTTGTTGATTTTCATATTTCTTATGATGTACCTTTATTTTATGAAGATAAATAAAATTCCCC